CCAAAAGGAATGGTAGAACTAGCATAACGTTTTGTCTTTGCTTTGAATAATGTCAAATTGCTTTGCTTCCTAATAAGCCGAACAGTTTTTTCACCCCTGGTTGGTGGAAAAAGATCATGAAGAGGATTATCATTCTGGGCCATCTCTTGTATTAATTTGATGGTAGCTTGCTCTCTCCGACCTTGTAAATCAGGTAGATGTATTGATGTGTTGGTAAATCTCTCAATGATTCATTGTGCTCTCTTTTGCATGCTTTCCAGCAAACAGCACATTTGCATACTTCAGACAGGGTCTGATCAAGGAGCAATACATACTGACTAAATCATCAGCAGAAGCTCCATGTTTTGCAAAAAGTGGAGACGTTGAGATGCCTTTTTTACACACTCATCAATGTGATAATTTCCATTTAATTGACTGTCAAGGTGATACCCTAGGTATTTTGACTGCAATACCACAGGAACCTCCTGTCCTCCCAGTATGAGTGGTGGTGGTTGTATTGAATTTTTTGCAAAACATATCCTTATTTGCTTCCATTTAAGAACATGTTGTTATTTTGTGCCCAAGTTTCCAAAGCAAGTGCCTCCATTTCCATCTTTTTGTCTGTTTCTATGTCTTTTAACTTTACAGCTCGTGATATACCAATATCATCTGCATAAACTGTGTCCAGTGTATCACCAAAAATGACTTCACGAATTGACATATGAAGTAAAAACAGAAATGGTGACACTACTCCACCTTGGGGAACCCCCGATGTCACAACTTTCCATTCACTGCTTTTACCGTTCGCAACCACCCTTTGTCGTCTTCCTGTTGTGTAGCTAAACAACCAAGCCAACTTAAATCATTTGTTCTCTTCTGCCTGCCAGGGAGAGTTGTACATCATGAATGCAGAGTTTCAGTCAATCCATCATTCTCATTGGCATCGCATTAAGGAAGTGCATGTTTCATTTTTATCTGCAGTTTAGATGTGCTGTCAGGAACATCTAGAGTTCTACATCTATGCCATTAGGCTGTTCTAAGTTAACCTTATTTAAGATATAAGCTACATATTTCCTCTATTTTTACATTTAGATTACATTTGCCTTCAAATATCAATTATTCATATTGTGCATTATTTTGAAGTTTGAAGTTTATTTACTTTTCTGCTTAGCAATACTGATATTGAATTATAGCAGAAAGTACATTGAAAGATAAAATCGCAAGGAAAAAACATAAAATACAAAGATACCAGAGAAATATAAAAACATACCTATGCAAGAAGTTAAGGAAATTGGTCTCCAGTCAGATTTTTCATTTGGTTGGGCAACCTTTGGGACTGGGCATATATTAGCTTCTTTCCATGCAGTTGGTAGAATACCCACTTGATATGAGGTATTGATCAGATGTGCTATAACTGGTGCCAGGTCTTCTGCGTGATTCTTGGGAAGCCAAGGAGGTATATCATCAGGGCCACTTGCTTTCCGTGTATCTAATCTTAGCAGGGATTGTGCTCTCTTTTGCATGCTTTCCAGCAAACAGCACATTTGCATACTTCAGACAGGGTCTGATCAAGGAGCAATACATACTGACTAAATCATCAGCAGAAGCTCCATGTTTTGCAAAAACTGTCAAAAAGTGAAGACGTCCTATACTACACAATTCATGCGTTTTTGTTGATTTGGCCAAAGGAAAAATCGCACACATCTTATCACTAGTCCAAGCCTCGGCAAAAAAACTGTTTAAGACCTCTGCTACATGCATTATAATTTTGTTATGCCTAAATTACCTTGTAGCTTTTAAAATGGCTGCTTTTTAGTTTTTCATTTTTTATTATTTAGACAAATAATATTGAATTTTAATATCAACCATTTATCAGCCCACATCTTCAACGGCTAGAGTTCCTGAACTATTTTCACAATCATTTTATCCATAAAGATGTCAAAAATTCATAAAAAATAAGACAAATCATCCAGCTTTCAGATCAATCATAACATTACATTTACACTACCATTCAAACGTTTGGGGGTCAAAGAAAGAAAACACTTCACTGTCATAAGTGACAGTAATGGCATTTATGCTTTTTTACTTTCTATTCATAAATGAATTCTAAAAATTATACAGAAAAACTGTTTCAATATAAATAATAAGTATTTGTTTCTTGAGCACCAAATCAGCATATTAAAATGATTTCTGAAGGATCGTGTGACATTGAAGACTGGAGTAATGATGCTGAAAATTCAGCTTTGCATCACTGGAATAAATTAAATTTTAAAATATATTAAAAATGAATTTTAAACTGTAATAATATTTTACAATATTACTGCTTGCTGTACTTTTGCTGAAATAAATGCAGCCTTGGTGAGCATAAGAGACTTTTTCAAAAACAATAGGCCTAACCCCAAACTTTTCAACACTAGAGTATATATATAATATTTTTGCATATAATATTACATATAAAAATGTTATTGATTAAAATTTGTATACATTTCAGTATTAAGTAGTTTGTATTGAGAAGTTTTTTAGATTAAGCTAAAATCACTTAATAAATGACTTGTGGCGTTGACAGAATCATCTATCATCCCTTAACAAACATAAAGCGCATAGTCTTGAGAGGTTTATACATTATTGTTAAAAATCTATGGAGAAAATGAATGGGATTTTACTTTCAGAACCCGGTAGTTGCGCTCTGTTGTGTATTTCAGCACAGCTCCCAGTGCCTCCAATTATAAAGCACTGTTGACAGATTTGTCAACACACAGAGTGTAGAAATCAAACAAGGACAGCAGACGCTCCTGTCATTCACAAGCACATACATACAAAGGGAGTGACCTTTAAAGGAGTGACATTAAAGCAGGCTGCACATTAAAACTGAGGCTTAGACGTAAAGCTGACTTAGTCTTTCACGCCTCCAGAAGGAAATTAGGCTGAGCCGGCAGAAGAGAAGCAAGAGATTCTCTGCATGTTCTGAGCAGAATAAGGAATGAGAGCTGGTAACCCCTCACCTCTGAGCAGGCTCCTGTCGTAGCCTCACACACACACAGCACAGACTGGTTCTGGGCCCGGTTTAACCAGCGCACAGTCAGACGCGTGCTGCTTATCCAGCTCACCATAGAGATGTAGCTATCTCTAGAGAAAGAGGAGTAAAAAAAGACCGACAGAAAGAGAATGAGAGAGTACAGTGCATTCAGAATCACAACTTTGATTATTTATTAAGACACTATCTTGCAAATAAAAATTTAAATGGGATTTTAGACCTTCCTGTACAGGGTTATTATAGTTAACTAAAACCATAAAAATGTAAAACAGGAAAAAAAAAAAAAAGTTAACTGAAATAGAGTACCAAAAAATGCACTCATTTTATTTCAGCTAGTTGCCAAAATAAATTCTAACTTACTTTTAAGTTTAACCTGTACTAAAATAACTGAAACTGAAAAAAACAATACTAAAAAGAAATTCAAATAAAAAACTGAAATCTGTAACAGTATCTCAATTATACTAAAATAACACTGCTCCCCTAGATTTTACTTTACATGCATTACAAAATTGACTAAAAAATGTATTATACATTTAAAAAAATATTTCATTTGATACAACAGCATTTTAAAATATAAAAAACTACAAAATTGATTATTTTATCTAACATTTATGTGTGCAACAGAACTGTTTTTATTAGGATTGTTCATGAATAATTTTTTTTTTGTCAACTACAGTACCATTTAAAAAGGATAGGCCACACAAACATGAAAATTATGATGACTTATTTTTGACTGACTTTTGAAGTATGTTTGTAACCAAATGGTTTCTGGTCCCATTGCCTTCCACAGTATGGACAAAAATACTATGGAAGTCAATGGGACCCAAAACTATTTGGTTACCAGTGTTCTTCAAAATGAAGAGGACGTAAGGGTGAATATAAATGACAGAATTTTCATTTTTGGATGGACTATGCCTTTAAGGTCACTAGAGTATTGTGAAGTTAGCTTAGAAACATGCAAAGTGAAGACATATTGATATATTAGCATTTATAAATAAGTTTAGAACACAATTACAAGACTTTTTGGCCCGTGTAAGCACTTTAATGTTTCCCATGTAAATTTCCAATTTTTAGTTGGTTAAATTCCTTTTTAATATTTACATTTAGTCACCTAGCAAACACTTTTATCCAAATCAACTTGCAATGAGGAACATTACAACCAATATTACAGCCTTGCTTTATGTTTGTTAACACAATGTGATGTTTAATGCTGCTATTTTGGCCAGGTCTCTGTAGCAAAATGAGACTTTAAGCTCAAGGGACTAACCTTAGGTTTAATAAAGGTTATAAAGGTTTAAATTAAATCACGCTCTGGGGATGATTTTTCACCAGGAGGAACTGAAAAGCCGATTACAATCAAGGACAAAAATCAGCCTGAAAGCTATGCTTGGAGTGAAGATTCAAAGACTCAAAGCACACAGCAAAAACAATGAAGAATGGCTTAAAGGGTTAGTTCACCCAAAAATGAAAATTAGGCTGCGTTTTACTCACCCCCGAGGCATCCTAGGTGTATATGACTTTCTTCTTTCAGACGAATCCAGTCGGAGTTATATTAAAAAGTGTCTTTGATCTTTCAAGCTGTTTAATGCCACTACACGGGCTCCGGGGGGTGAACAGAGGCCTTCTGTAGCGAATCGATGCGTTTTGTAAGAAAAATATCCATATTCAAAACGTAATAATCACTTGAATCTAGCTTGTGCCAACAGTCCTACACGGAAGCAGTTTCGGGTGGATGACGTATGAGGTCAGCGTTGCGCATGCGCTGGTAAGTCTCGTGAAAACCAACGTTTGTTAACAGGAGCAAAGTTTCCTTACTTTAGCAAAGGAAAACCAGTCTCCTCTTGGCTTATATCGAAATCCTCTGACATTCTTCTTTACAAATCCTCGTTTTGTACTTCTAATAAGTGACCGTTGTTTTGTTTTGATCTCTCTGCTGCATTTCTGTGTGCGTCACTTCTGAGCGGCGCATGCGCAAAGCCAACCT